CTCCTCCTCCTCCTCCTCCTCCTCCTCCTCCTCCCCTCCTCCTCTCCTCCTCCTCCTCCTCCTCCTCCTCCTCCTCCAGGAGGCGGCAGCCGCGGCCAGGAGGGAGAGGTGGGAGGGGGGGGGGCAGGGAGGTCAGGGTCGAGCCACAAGCAAAAACACAGAGGATGCCGCGGCCCAGGGGGGGGAGGCCTGGGAGGGAGGCCAGGGCGGCAAGGAACGGACCACGAACGAACGGACCACGAGCGAAACTAAAAAGGCTCCGCGGCACAGCCCCTCCTCCTCCTCCTCCTCCTCCTCCTCCTCCTCCTCCTCCTCCTCGCGGGGGGGGGGCAGGCGGACGAGGAAGCGGGGAGGTGGGGTGGGGGATGGGGATGGGGACGGGACGAGCGAGCGGGAGGACGAGAAAGGGGGGAGGGAAGGAGGGCGGAGGGGGGAAGACCTCCGCAGACCCCCTCCTCATCCCCTGCCGTTTCCCGCTCAAAAGACGAGGGGAGGCGGGGGATGGGGATGGGGACAGGAGCGAGCGGGAGGTCGAGAAAGGGGGAGAGAGGGAGGGCGGAGGGGGGAAGACCTCCTCCTCATCCCCCGCCGACGCCCGCTCAAACCCAGCCCCCGGGCCCCCTCCGGGGCTCATCGTGGCCAGAGCAGCGAGGGGAGTCTGGCCTGTGGCGACGCGGGCGCTCCCAACAAGAAGCAGCAGGACGCTCCCGAGAGCTCGAGCCTCTGTCCTCGCCGCTCCCGCCCCCCCCCCCTCGGCCCCTCGCTGCCGTCGAGCGAGGGGGGAAGGCGAGAGGAGGAAGACAAGTTAGGAGCGCTCGCGCCACATCGAACATCCTATCACTCTTTCCCATCCCTTCCTCCTGCGCGGATGTTGTCTCTCTCTCTCTCTCTCTCTCTCTCCGTGGACGCGTGTCACAGGAAGACCCCGTCGTGTTATGCGCAGTCGGGAACAGGGAGAAACTTGTGGGACATGTGCGACCTGGGGACATCTGTGACCCGTGGGGACTGCGAGACCCGTGGCACTGGCGGGGACCTGCGGAACCTCTGGGACCTGGGGGACTCCTGTGGGACCCGTGAGACATGCGACACCTCTGGGACCTGTCGGACCCGTCGGACCTCTAAGGCCTGCGAGGCCTGCGAGGCCTGCGAAACTTGTGGAGTCCTGTGGGACCTGTGTGACGCGTGGTGCTTCCGAGACCTGTGGGAAACAGACAAGTGGCACACGCTGAGGCGGGAGAGCCATTCTAAACAACGGGAGCACAGCGCCGATCCGAAAATGATGCCCACGCTGCAGCGAGAGCACAATGTGGGAAACACTGTAAACAATCGGATGGCAAACAACCATATGGAAAGCTGGTTCGTACAAATATTGTTCCTAAAAACATGACAAGGAAGGATCGAAATCAACAAACACGAAAGAAAAGGTCGCTCGCGCAAAACATGCGTCACACAAGCCATACGCGGAAGGGGGCGGCTACTCGCTGGACAGATTCGGAGGAGAGAGGATAATAGTATTCCTATTGTGAAACTGTGCAAGAGACAGCAGAAGCAGGAGGAGAAGGGATAGGCGAGTGAAGGAAAAGGGGAGGCTTGCAATGGGGAGGAGGGGGAGAGGAGGATGGAGATGTGGAGGGGGGGATGAGAATCAATCGAGGAGGGGAGGAGGAGGAAAAGGAAAAGAAAGAGGGAGGAGAAGTCATGGAGTCATTCAAAGGCAGCTCTGACACGTGGAAATGGACTGGGCGCCAGGTCACTGTCCAGTTCCGTGACAGAACACCTGTCCCGAAGGCCGGCTAGGGGATACGGCCACACCTCGTCGCTCAGCGACTCGCCGCCCAGCCGAGATGGCATGGTTCGTACGGGGACCGTCGGGTCACCTTGAGGATAATTTTCCGACCATCAGCACCTGCCAAATCGACTACCATGTGCAACTAGGTTGGTTCCCCAAGGTGAACGGACACAAGGCATGGCACTTACAGACCCCGCCTCTCAACCGAATGCCGAATGCGCAATCCCCGTAATTACCTGATGGCCAGCGCGGAGCATGGCACCAGCGCCACGGGCGCAGCTAAGGCGCCACATGCTACGGACAGAGAGCCACGCAGCTGGTGCTAGAACGACGTGAACCGGTTTGTCACGCCCCCTGCCGCTGCGTGGACTGATTGGCAGTGTCCCCGCGTCGTAGGACGGAGCACCAGGAGACGGCACCCAGCAGAGCATCAATTGCCCCCCCCGACGCAGGGGGGAGAGGAGGTAGGAGGAGAAGGAGTAAGAATGAGGAGGAGGATGAGGACGAAGATGATGATGTTGTTGATGTTGATGATGGTGACGATAGTGGTGGTGATGATGACGATGATGACGATGGTGATGGTGATGATGATGTAGATGGTGATGGTGATGATGCTGGTGATGCTAATGATGCTGATGAAGGTGCTGATGCTGACGACGATGACGACGACGACGACGACGACGATGATGATGATGATGATGATGATGATGATGATACGTATGATGATGATGCTGACGACGATGCTGACGATGATCATGATGGGAACGATGATGATGCTGATGATGATGCTGATGATGATAAAGATGATGCGAGTTGGGATGATGGTGACTCCGATGATGAGGATACTTATGCTACTGATGATGATGCCGATGATGGTGATGATGGTGATGATAAAACTGATGATGTTGATGATAATGCTGACGATGATGATAATGATGATGATGTCGATGCGATTATGATGATGATACAGATGATGCGTATGATGTTGATGATGATGATGATGCTGATGCTATGATGACGATGATGGTGATGCTGGGGATGATTGTACTACTGATGCTGCGGCTGATGACAATGGTGATGCTGACGGTGATGATGATGGTGATAATAATGATGATGATGATGACGATGGTGATGGTGATGATGATGTAGATGGTGATGATGATGATGCTGGTGATGCTAATGATGCTGATGATGGTGCTGATGCTGACGACGATGACGACGATGACGATGATGATGATGATGATACGTATGATGATGATGCTGACGACGATGCTGACGATGATCATGATGGGAACGATGATGATGCTGATGATGATGCTGATGATGATAAAGATGATGCGAGTTGGGATGATGGTGACTCCGATGATGAGGATACTTATGCTACTGATGATGATGCCGATGATGGTGATGATGGTGATGATAAAACTGATGATGTTGATGATAATGCTGACGATGATGATAATGATGATGATGTCGATGCGATTATGATGATGATACAGATGATGCGTATGATGTTGATGATGATGATGATGATGATGATGCTGATGCTATGATGACGATGGTGGTGATGCTGGGGATGATTGTATTACTGATGCTGCGGCTGATGACAATGGTGATGCTGACGGTGATGATGATGGTGATAATGATAATGATGATGATGATGATGATGATGATGATGATGATGATGATGATGATGAGAGGGATGATGATTATGACTATGATGATGCTGATTATGATGCTGATGATGATGGTGATGCTGATGATGATGATGATCATGATGCTGATGCTGATGACGATGATGATGATGATAATGATGATGATGATGATGATGATGATGATGATGATGATGATGATGATGATGATGATGATGATAATAATGATGATGAGAGGGAGGAGGAGGAGGAGGAGGAGCAGGAGGACGATGATGATGATGATGATGATGAGGAGGAGGAGGAGGAGGAGGAGGAGGAGGAGGAGGTCCGCCGATGAGGGAGGAGGATGAGGAGGAAGGAGAAGGAGGAGGAGGAGGAGGAGGATGAGGAGGACGATGAGGAGGACGAGGAAGAGGAATATGATGAGGATCGGGAGGCTCACCGATGAGGTAGTAGTAGGAGGAGGAGGAGGAGGAGGAGGACGAGGAGGAGGAGGAGGAGGTGGATGTGGATGTGGAGGAGGAGGAGGAGGAGGAAGAGAAGGAGGAGGAAAGGCAGAGGAGGGAAAGGAGGATGAGGAGGAGGATTCCTCCTCCTCTTCAAGAGAAGGAAGAAGAGCAGGAGGGGGCCGCGGCGTGGCCGGCGGGCGAGCGGCGGCGGGGCACGGCGCCCTGCGCGGGGCGCGGCGGCGCGCCGCGCGCGCGCCGCCGCGCCGCTCGAGGCCGCCCCTGTGGGGGGTCGCTCCGCCGCCTGAGAGCCGAGGGAGGCGGCGAGAGGAGGAGGAGGAGGAGGAGGAGGAGGAGGAAGAAGGAGGAGGAGGAGGAGGAAGAAGGAGGAGGAGGAGGAGGAGAACGAGGAGGGGAGGAGGGAGGCAGGGGGAGGAGGAGGGAGGAGGGAGGGAGGAAGGAATAGGATGGGGGGGGGCGGAGGACGAGGAGGAGGAGGAGGAGGAGGAGGAGGAGGAGTAGGCAAGGGAGGAGAAGGAAGGAGAAGGGAAGGGATGATGAGGAGGAGGAGGCGAGGAGGAGAGGAGGAGGAGGAGTGAGGAGGAGGAGGAGGAGGAGGAGGAGGAGGAGGAAGGGGAGGCGGAGGGGAGGAGGGAGGCAGGGGGAAGAGGAGGGAGGAGGGAGGGAGGGAGGAAGGAATAGGAGGGGAGACGCAGGAGGAGGAGGACCAGTGTAAACCCAAGAGTCATCAATGATGTTGGGATTAGCCCTCCCTCCAAGCTCCCTCTTCGTAGGCCCCTACAACGGCTCATTTCCACTTAGGGAACTGCCTCGTCGGAAGACAGCCGTTTGAAGACTCTGGAGCATGCCAAAGCCTTGTTCTGTTCAACGACACGGGACAACCTGACTGTTGCGTCTTGACGATCCTGAATCGTGCCAGAACGCCGTTCCTGGTACGTCAACCCCGCGAATGAAAGGTAACTGTTGCACCCTCATAACCCTGAACCCTTCAAACACCCATTTCTGGTGCGTTGACCATGGGAACCCGTGAAACTCTTGCAACATGTTAGACACGAATGTGCGCGTTGATAAGGAGTCGCCCTCAAGTAGTGAAACGCTTGCAAATTTACAAACGAGTGTACGCGGCGCTAAAATGAGAACCACAATTTGAATACCTCTATCTTTGAAACTCTTGGAAATGTTTAAAACGAATGAGCGCGGCGCTACGGCGAGACCCACATGTTGAAAAGGAATCGCCCTCAATCCGTGAAGCTCTTCTAATTCTTTAAGGCGAGAACATGCGAGAACCACGGTTTGAAAACCATTCGCCCTCAATTCCTGAAACTCTTCAAATTCTTGAAACGAATGCGCGCGGCGCTAAGGCGAGAACCACATGTTGAAAACGACCCGGCATCCATTTGTGAAACTGTTGTCATGTTTTAAGCTTCAAGGTCATAAATGATGAGAAAATCTCAGGCGAAAGCCCGGCCCGCCCTAAAAACTGGCCTCGGGGTTGCGACAGGGAGTGGCGACGTCATCATCTCTCTCTCCCTCTCTGGCCACATGTGGTACCTCTCTATTGCAGCTGCTCTTCCAATGGCAGCTTACTTACTTCCAGTGGCTGCATACATCTCTTCTTTCCTCTGGCTGCTTTGACTTGCTCACTTCTCATCTCTTGACCCCCATGGACACAGGGAATTGCGTAACCCAGTTGCTGCAGGCCTACACCCTTTTTGCCGTTATACTGTCCAGCAGGCCTACCTTGGGGGGGTACAAAACCACAATGGTGGTACTCCAGGCTAAGGTGCTCCAGGCGTGCCGGTTTTACCATCTGGCGGGCGCATACTCTTTATGCTCGTCTTCACCATTCTTTCCACCTGATTTTTTCCGCTGCGCCCGCCAGGTTCATGTGCTTTTTACCGCAGACGGTGCAAGAGAGCCCCAAGAGAGACTCAAGAGAGCCCCCAGACAGCCTGAGGGGACCCCGTACATCTCAGGCATCATTGCAAAGTCTCTCACTCATCCTCTCCCTTTCTTCTCTCCATCGTTTTTCTCAGATCAGCGCCTGCGGGAGCCAACCGCAGTCTCAACCGCCAAACAGTCGCCGATTGTGCCAACAATCTGGTGAATCAATAACTGCCAACCCTAGTTCCAGCGGCCAAACCGAACTGCAAACGAACTCAGCACGCACCTTCTGGATCTCGATTTAAGACTGCTGATCCATTGGCGCGACACCTCACTAGCTACAGGATGAATGGTAAACGAGACAGGTACGCCGACTGCTGGCAACACGTTTAAGCCTTCGACGCGCTGTCAGGTTCATCTACTGCGTCGCCATCATTCCGCTCATCGCTGCTTCCCTGGAAGGTCAATGAGCGGGACAAGACTCAGTGCCGCCAACCAGTGCACTCGGGCCCAGTGTCGCCTTTCTCCCGCGCGTCTTCGAACTTGTGGCCCAAGAACAGATCGCACTCTGCACAGAACACCTCCGCAACATGGCATGTGTAGCTGTTGTAGCCTTCGACGCGGCGAACACTCAGCGCGCGCTCGGAGACCGGTCTGCGGAAGGACGGCCAGGCGCACGGGCCGCGCCACTTGGCCGAAGACGCATACAGGGCATGGCCGCAGCGCGCGCAGGAATCCGCCAGCCCGCGCCTGCGAGAAGGCGTGCCACTTGCCGTCGCTCGGACGTCCACTTCCCGTGCATGTCTCGGTTTCGTGCGTGCTTTTTTTGCACGATGGTCCAGGATGGTCCTGGATGGTTCTCGCCGAGAAAAAAAGGCACACGTCCGAGCGATGCCAGGGCCAGGGGATGGGCCGACGGCCCCCTCCCCCCTCTTCCCCCCCCCACGGGATTCCAGAATCACATGTGAAGGGGGGGGGGGGGGGCTGAGCTCATCACGGAGCTCTGGGGCTCCATGTGTTTCATGGTCGCCCATCATGCCCCCCAGTCCGCCCCAAGATGGCCTCCAAGCTGGCGCAGGCTGGCGCATGCCTCCCAAGAAGCCCGAGGGGTCCGCAGGACGGCTCCCGGGCGGCCTCGGAGCTTCCAAGACTGCCCCCGAGAGGACCGCGACCTTCAGAAAGGGCACGGCTTCCAGTCGTGCCGGCCGTCTCGCAACTTCGGCGGTTCCGATGAGCCTCGGAAGCCTCAGGTCAAAACCGCTCCAAGATCGCCCAGGAGAGCCGCCAGCAGGGCCCCGAACCGCCCCCCGAACGGCCCGCGAAGCCGCCTCGGGCGCCCTGGGAGCGCCCCAGGGGAAGGCCCCAGAGGCACATGCCCGAGGTCCAAACGGGCAGGAGGTGGAGGAGGAGGGCGACGTGGAGGAGGACGGGGAGGAGGAGGAGGAGGAGGAGGAGGAGGAGGAGAGGAGGAGAGGAGGAGGCGGAGGAGGAGGAGGAGGAGGGGAGGAGGAGGAGGAGGAGGACGAGGACGAGGAGGAGGAGGAGGAGGAGAAGGAGGAGGAGGAGGAGGAGGAGGAGGAGGCACGATTGTAAGATAACCCTCTTGTTGGACCGATGGCATCCGGGATGGCTCCACGACGGCGCGCAGGGCCTCCTGAGAGGAGCTCGAAAAAACAGCCCCCAGGAGTGCGCCCGAGGCCCCCCAGGGCGGGCCCCGGGAGGCCGTCGAGGCGGCTCCGAGAGGCTCCCGGAGGCGTCTGAGATCAGCATCGTTGGCATGTTCGCCTCCTCCCGACGGTTCGCCTAGGCGCCTCCCGAGAAGAGCTCGAAGACAGCCCCAGGAGTGCGCCCGAGGCCCCCCGGGGCGGGCCCCAGGAGACCGTCGAGGCGACTCCGAGAGGCTCCCAGGAGACCATCTGAGATCAGCATCGTTGGCATGTTCGCCTCCTCCCGACGGTTCGCCTGGGCGTCGCTTCTGGCGAGGATGCGGGGAGCACCAAAACTCGCCCGTCCACCGTTCCCTCCTCCTCCTCCTCCTCCTCCTCCTCCTCCTCCTCTCCTCCTCCTCCTCCTCCTCCTCCTCCCTCCTCCCCCCCTCCTCCTCCCTCCCCCCCTCCCCTCCTCTTCCTCCTCCTCCTCCTCCTCCTCCTCCTCCTCCTCCTTCTTTTTGTTCCTCCTCCTCCCGGGGGGCGGGCGGAAGGCGCAGGCCTCACCCATAAACCCCCGGATCCCAGTGCTCCAGAAACGCCTCGGATCCACCGGGTCCCGCGGCAGCGCTCAACTCCTCGATCCGATCCTCGAGCGCAGGGGTCAGAGCAGCCGCGGTGCCGTCTGCGCTTGCTGCCCTACCCTTGAAGGAGCAGAGCTCGAAATACGTCTCGTCGTCTACGAGTCTTCCTGACTCAGTCCGCGGCTTATTCGCGGCGTGTCAGCTTCCACAGGGTGCTGGAGAGCGCGTCGCGGTGCCGTCGCTATCGCCACATGGAGCCATCAACAATGGGTCGCACTTGTCTTTCTCTGTTGAAGCGCGCCTGTCTTGAGCCGAAGCGACTAAAGGCCGACCAGATGACAGACCCTCTGCCCCAGTCCCACTGCCCCTGCACTCCGCCACCGTGCCTGGAGGCACACAGTACTCCCAAGTCCCTGGGACTGACGTATAGAATCATGAACTATATTCTTCAAGGGAGCCCGGAGCCCCAAATGCCGGGCGCTGCGGGGGCTTTCGGGGGCGTGGTGGCGGGCGTCCCCGCGTGGCTCTTCCGGAGGCAGGGGGGCCCCAAAACGGACCAGGAGGGCCCCGAGAGCCCCCAAGACGGTCCATGAGGGCCCCGAGTCGCCTGAAGATCTCTCCAACACGCCCAAGATGGCCGCAAGACGGCCCAAGAGGCCGCCAAGACGCACCACAAGGATTACAAGAGGCCGCCCTAGAGGCGAACACGATTGGTTTCCCGTCGGTATCTCCATCATGTTGTTCCCCCTCCTCGGATGCTGGCTGCCGCTCGGCCCCCAGGTGCTCTCACGAGGAAAATTCGCTCGGAGGTCCGCGCGGATTTCTTGGATCTGCGCTGGACCCCCTCCCTGGCGCGAAAGGGTTCCAGCGCCGATTCAAGGACAGCGCGCGGACCTCCGCAAGTGTACGCGTGTGTGTGTGTGTGTGTGTGTGTGTGCGTGTGTATGCGTATGTGTATGTGTATGTATGTGTATGTGTATGTGTATGTGTATGTGTATGTGCATGTGCATGTGCATGTGCATGTGTATGTGTATGTGTATGTGTATGTGTATGTGTATGTGTAGGTGTATGTGCATGTGCATGTGTATGTGCATGTGTATGTATGCGTGCGTATGTGTGTATGTATGTGTATGTGTATGTGTATGTGTATGTGTATGTGTATGTGTATGTGTATGTGTGTATGTGTGTGTGTGTGTGTGCACGTGTGTGTGCGTCACCTCTGCACACATAGAAGCTGTCGGAGGCTCCCCGTGCTGGTGCGGCCTCTAGAGAAGCGAGCTCCGGGCCGGGTGGACCTCCGGCGCGCGGCGCCGCCGCAGAGCAGGCGCGCGCGCGACGGCTCCGCTTCTCCGCGCGAGCGCCGCGAGCCCGCGGGCCGCGGCGATCTCGAAGTCTCGGCGGCGCGCGCAGGATCGGCGAGGGCGGAGAAGGGGGAGAGTCGGAGGAAAGCCTTTCCTCCTGCTCCTCCTCCTCCTCCTCCTCCTCCCTCCTCCACCTCCTCCTCCTCCTCCTCTCTCCCTCTCTCCTCTCTCCTCTCTCCTCTTCTCCTCTCCTCCTCTCTCTCTCTCCTCTCTCCTCTTCTCCTCTCTCCTCTCCTCTCTCCTCTCCTCTCCTCCTCTCTCTTCCTCCTCCCTCCTGCCTCCTCCCTCTCCCTCCTCCCCCTTCCTCCTCCTCCTCCTCCTCCTCCTCCTCTCCTCCCTCCTCCCTCCTCCGTCCTCCTCCTCCTCCTCCCTCCTCCTCCTCCTCCTCCTCCTCCTCCTCCTCCTCCCTCCTCCCGCCTCCGCCTCCTCCTCTCCTCCTCCTCCTCCTCCCTCCTCCTCCTCCTCCTCCTCCATTCCTTTTCCTTGTAAATACCTTCTCCCTGCCGCACCCTGAGGCCAGTTTTAGGCGGGCCGGGCGTTTCGCATGAGACTTCCTCACCATTTATGAACATGAAGCTTAAAAATGGCATTAGCTTCACAGATAGAGGGCGGGTGGTTTTCAATATGCGGCTGTCGCCTTAGCGCCGCGCACATTCTTTAAAAAATGCAAGAGCTTCATGAATAGAGGGCGGGTGGTTTTCAAAATGTGGCTCTTAGCGCCGCGCACATTCGTTGAAAAAACCGCCGATCCGGCGTGCGAACTACAAGGAGCCTCAGCAAGAGCTTCAGCTCTGAGCCTAAGCAAGAGCTTCAGCTCTGCTTGGGCGGGGTCGCCGGGGTGGCTCTGCCAGGGAAGGGGGGGAGGGGGGGGTCCTCCATCTGGCGTTTTCTCAATGATTTGCGCATCCCCAGAATTTTTCGGGGGGTCCCAGGGACCCCCCCCCAGAACGCCCATCGGAACCCTCCCTGGACCACTCCCCGGGGAAGGGTGGGAGGGGGGGGAGGGGGGGTCCTGCATTTGTCTGAATGATTTGCGCACCCCCAATATGTTTCGGGGGGTCCAGGGACCCCCCTCAGATCTAGCCGCTGCAGCCACCAGAACCCTCCCCTCGGAACCCTCCCCGGACCCACCCCAGGACCGCTCCAGGCACCCCCCCAGAGGGCACGTCAGCTCCAAAAAGCGTCCCCGACGACTCCAAGAGCGCCCTCCCTCCCAAACAGCGTCCCCTACGACTCCAAGATCACCGAATCCGGAGCCCCCCGGATCGGCGGCACTGGCCGGAGGCCATTACAGCAAGCAAGAGCTTCACGGACTAAGGGCTGTGAGTGGTTTTCATCATGTGGCTCTCCCCTTAGCACTGCGCGCATTCGTTGTATTATCCCGGCAAAGCAACCTAACAGCGATGTGTAAAAGCATATCTGGAAGCATTCCCCTTAAGATTCAGATGAGAATCCAGTTGTAGAATTCTGCTGTTCTCGCAGTCGCAGTCACATTCGCGATGACAGTCGCAGTGGCAACGGCAGTCGCAGTCACAGCCTCAGCCTCAGCCTGCCTCAGCATCAGCCTCAGCCTCAGCCTGCCTCAGCCTCAGCCTGCCTCAGCCTCAGCCTCAGCCTGCTTCAGCCTCAGCCTCAGTCTGCCTTCAGCCTCGGCCTCAGCCTCAGCCTGCCTCAGCCTCAGCCTGCATCAGCCTCAGCCTCAGCCTCAGCCTGCCTCAGCCTGCCTCAGCCTCAGCCTCAGCCTGCCTCAGCCTCAGCCTCAGCCTGCTTCAGCCTCAGCCTCAGTCTGCCTTCAGCCTCGGCCTCAGCCTCAGCCTGCCTCAGCCTCAGCCTGCATCAGCCTCAGCCTCAGCCTCAGCCTGCCTCAGCATCAGCCTGCCTCAGCCTCAGCCTCAGCCTGCCTCAGCCTCAGCCTCAGCCTGCTTCAGCCTCAGCCTCAGTCTGCCTTCAGCCTCGGCCTCAGCCTCAGCCTGCCTCAGCATCACCCTGCATCAGCCTCAGCCTCAGCCTCAGCCTGCCTCAGCATCAGCCTGCCTCAGCCTCAGCCTCAGCCTGCCTCAGCCTCAGCCTCAGCCTGCTTCAGCCTCAGCCTCAGTCTGCCTCACGCATCAGCCTGCCTCAGTCCTCAGCCTTAGCCTGCTACAGCCTCAGCCTCAGCCTGCTTCAGCCTCAGCCTCAGTCTGCCTTCAGCACAGCCTCAGCCTCCTCAGCCTCAGCCTCAGCCTGCCTCAGCCTCAGCCTGCCTCAGCCTCAGCCTCAGCCTGCTTCAGCCTCAGCCTCAGTCTGCCTTCAGCCTCGGCCTCATCCTCAGCGTGCCTCAGCCTCAGCCTGCATCAGCCTCAGCCTCAGCCTCAGCCTGCCTCAGCATCAGCCTGCCTCAGCCTCAGCCCCAGCCTGCCTCAGCCTCAGCCCCAGCCTGCCTCAGCCTCAGCCTCAGCCTGCTTCAGCCTCAGCCTCAATATGCCTTCAGCCTCGGCCTCAGCCTCAGCCTGCCTCAGCCTCAGCCTGCATCAGCCTCAGCCTCAGCCTCAGCCTGCCTCAGCATCAGCCTGCCTCAGCCTCAGCCTCAGCCTGCCTCAGCCTCAGCCTCAGCCTGCTTCAGCCGCAGCCTCAGTCTGCCTTCAGCCTCGGCCTCAGCCTCAGCCTGCCTCAGCCTCAGCCTGCATCAGCCTCAGCCTCAGCCTCAGCCTGCCTCAACATCAGCCTGCTTCCGCCTCAGCCTCAGCCTCAGCCTCTCCTCAGCCTGCTCAGCCTCAGCCTCAGCTCAGTCTCAGCCTGCGCCTCAGCCTCAAGCCTCAGCCTCAGCCTGCCTCAAGCCTCAGCCTCACCCAGCCTCAGCCTCAGCCTGCCTCAGCCTCAGCCTCAGCCTGCCTCAGCCTCAGCCTGCCTCAGCCTCGCCCTCAGCCTGCTTCAGCCTCAACATCAGTCTGCCTTCAGCCTCGGCCTCAGCCTGCCTCAGCCTCACCCTCAGAGTGCATCAGCCTCAGCCTGCCTCAGCCTCGCCCTCAGCCTGCTTCAGCCTCAACATCAGTCTGCCTTCAGCCTCGGCCTCAGCCTGCCTCAGCCTCACCCTGCATCAGCCTCAGCCTCAGCCTCAGCCTGCCTCAGCATCAGCCT